GAGAACGGGACAGGTACGGGTTGGGATTGGGAAAAGGGACAGGGGTAGGGAACGGGACAGGTACGGGATTGGGAATAGGGAGAGGGTTTGGGAATGGGATGGGAATTGGGATGGGTTAGGGTTAGGGACTGGGTAGAGGGAGGGGTAGGACAGGTACGGGATAGGGATGGGATAGGGACAGAGATAGGAACGGGAACAGAGGCAGGTACGGCACAGGGATGGGCCACGGACAGGTGTGGGATAGGGATAGCGATGGAGTAGGGACAAGCACTGCATGGGGACGGGGACAGGGTGGGGCAGCGCTGGGGCCGGGGCAAGGCTGGGGCCGGGACAGGCGCGGTCGGGGTGTCCCGTGTGTCCCCGGTGTCCCCGTGTGCCTGCTCGTCCCGGGTGTTCCCGGAGTGTCCCTGCTGTCCCGTGGTCCCCGGGTCCCGTGTCCCCCGCGGTGTCCCTGATGTCCCGGTTGTCCCCGGATGTCCCGGTTTCTGTGCCGCGGTCCGTCCCTCCCCGGCGGGGCCCCCGTGCGGGTCCCGCCGGCGCGGGCGGCTGCCGGGCCCGGGCGGTGCCGTGCGGATCGCGGGCGATCCCGGGCGGTTCTGTCGCTTCGCTATCGCTGTCGCTGTCCCCCGTTGCAGCAGGGCCCGTTCGCCGCGGGGTCCCGGTCCCGGTTGCCGGTGGGCGTGCCGGCGCGGGGGATGCAGCATGCATGGCCCAGGCGGGGCCGAGCGCCGCGGCGGCCTCGGCGCTCCTCGTGTTCCTGCTCTATTCCGCCATCCACAGGGTCGAGGAGGGACACCTGGCCGTGTACTACAGGTACTGCCCTCGGGAGCCTGCTCCCTCCGCCGGGGTCCGTCCTGGCACCACCGCTTGCTCTCTCCTGCCTTTGGCCCCGGGTTTTCCCCCTGTTGTCTCTGCTCCCCGATGAGTCCCGGGCACCCTGGCTCTGTGCAGAACCCTTGGGAGTTTGGGTCTCTCTGAACCCTCAGCTGCTTTCCCTCCCTCTCCCCCCTCCCGTCCCTTTTCACAGTTTGGATTTCAGAGCTTAGAGATCCAAAGTGCCCGTCCCATCTCCTCACATCTGTTGATCGCTCCTTCTTACATCAGGAGCCGTCACCTCTGTCCCAAACTGTCACCCCCAGCCAGAGCACCCATTTTGTTGGTGCTTTGGAATGTTCTCCCTGCCCTTCCCACTCACCACCCTGGACCATTTTCCTTTAATCACAAGCGTGTCGAGCTGGGGGGTTTCTTGGTGCTTTGGGGCTCGTGGAAATCCAAACTGGCAGCACCACATCCACTGCTGGATTTTTCCATGGTTACCAGAGAACTATTTAGAGAGGAAAATCTGTGTTCTTGCAGCTCTGCAGTGTTGCAATGCTGGGAGGCTTTAGCAATAGCTGCCTCCTCTGAGGGTTAGTTGCTCACAGGGCTCAAGGGAACGACTTGTCAGCTTGCAACAGGCAAACAGCAGGAGCACTCAGCCCTTTTGTAGGGGAATTGGTGGCAAATTTGGGGCAGTAGTGTAACTCTCACTCCCCCAACTGTGCCTGCAGCTGAGTGTCCCTGCTTGTTCTCAAAGCTAGGCTCGCTTGAGCCTCTCCCTGTTTTCCTCTCTCTCCGCAGGGGCGGTGCGTTGTTAACCAGCCCGAGCGGGCCCGGCTACCACATCATGCTCCCCTTCATCACCACCTTCAAATCCGTGCAGGTTGGTACCCTCTCCTCTGGGAGGAGCAGCTGTTGGGAGGGTGGGGGTGCCCAGCACGTGTGTGAGTTGCTGGGGACAGGAGATGTCCTACTCCGGGAGGACGGTCCGTGTTTGTGGCCATCACTGTTTCCCAGGAAAGGCACAGGCCTTGTGCCGTGGGAGTTGGGAGCAGGGAATGGGCACAGCTGCCTGTCCGTCCCACAGAAGGCAGGTGGGAAGAAGCCTTGGCCTCTTCCCACACACGAGGGAGGCAGAGGATGCATTTGTGGCTCCATGTTCCTGTTGTGAGAGTCTGGGCACAGCGGGACCTTCCCGGGAGCGGGGCGGTTTGTGAGCTCGGGTTGTCTTTGTGTTTCAGACCACGTTGCAGACTGATGAAGTGAAAAATGTGCCTTGTGGGACAAGGTAGGGATTTCATCTGTATTTCTCCTGGTGCTGAGCAGATGCACTCGGTGGTGTCATTTACAGTGCTGGGAAGTAAAGGCACGTGCCCTAAAATTAGTCCTGAACACACACATACACCCCACTGTAAAAGAACATGGAAATTATAGAACAGGAGGTACATGAGGGGGTGCTCTGGCTTTTGCTGCAGCTGCTGCTCAGAGGGTGTTTGCATTCATAGTGATATTATCTTGATTTTTCTTGGTTTCTCCCCTCAGTTACTCTGACACCCCATTGCTTGTGCTTTGGTCTGCCCTCGGATATTTCTAGTCTGGATTTTGTGGCTGATAGAAGTGCTGACCAGAGGGCAAAAGCAAATGGTGAATGGGAATCCTCCTGGTGGGAGAGGGTCCATTTCCAGATGAAATGCCTGATTCATAGTTAAGCTGATTCTTTTGTCAGCACAGACCTGCTCGGTTTTAACAAGCAGAGCAGTAGCAGGAGGAGAGGGCTGGTTGAGCTGGGTTGCAGATCCTGTTGTGTTGGTTCATCCACAGGTTAAAGTGGTGACTGGAGCTCTTTCTTCAGGGTAAAAAAACTCCTGGTGATTCACCTTGTCTTTTAGCTCCAGTGTCCTCAACAAAATTTCTGTTTAAAAAAATAAATCCCCGTGACTTGAATGATGACACTCAGTGACCACATTGAAATTGAAAGTGGAATGGTAATGGCAACATTAACAAAGCAGAGTTCATTTTGATCAGGTTTAACCTGTAATGAAATGAGTTCTTGGGGTTACTCCTGGAGCATCAGACACCACATGGGCTTAAATATTAAAATATGGGTCTCATGGTTTTCGTTTAACATCTCAAAGATTTTCAGGAGTATCTGTAAATAATGTTCAGTGCTGCAGCTTTCATAGAATCCCAGAATGGTCTGGGTTGGAAGAGACCTTAAAACCCATCTCCTTCCACTCCCCTGCCATGGGCAGGGACACCTCCCACCAGCCCAGGTTGCTCCAAGCCCCGTCCAGCCTGGCCTTGGACACTTCCAGGGATCCAGGGGCAGCCACAGCTTCTCTGGGCAACCTGGGCCAGGGCCCTCCCCACCCTCACAGGGAACAATTCCTTCCCAATATCCCATCTAACCCTGCCCCTGGCAGTGGGAAGCCATTCCCCCTTGTCTTATCACTCCAGGCCCTCGTCCAAAGTCCCTTTGTGGTGAAGTAACCATTCTTTAGGGCAAGCAGAAAATCCCTGCCAGCCTCCACCATTCTGTGCTTCTGGGATTTAGGAGCTAATTATTTCTGTTTGGTTCTGTCAAGTGAGTTCATGACATTCCTGCTGCATTTCAGCATTGTGGGGTTCAGTTGTGCAGTGCAGGTGGTTGTGAAGGTACAGGCAGTAAATGTGCTTTAAAACACCCAACAGCTGGTGAAAGCAGTTCCTAGTTAATAATTGAATACACTTCAGACCAAAGGTCCCAGTAGCCCTGTCCACTTTTAAGGTGTCACTGCAGGAGCCTTTCAGTTTGCTGCAATTGGATCCAAAGGCTGCAGCTGCTCCATGCCAAAGCCTGGAATCCAGATTTCCTTAGTGAAACATTAGCTTATAAACACTAGTGGGTGAAATCTGAAATGTCACTGTCCTGGTTAAAAGTCAGTTACAAGAACAGATTGTAAACAGTTTAAGTTTCTGTAGTTGTACATTAAACCATCCGATTTTAAAGGCTGGGTTTCTTCCATCATATTTATGTTCCTCTTGCCTGTGTCCTCATCTACATCAGGAAGCTTCTGAATGTCTGTGTGGGTGTCCCATCCCCAATTTCTGCCTTAACCTGTCCTGTTTATAACTGATCAGTGTTAAGTGAATACATTAAATACAGATTTTTAAATACTTTGGCACCAGAGGACTGTTTCCACAGAACAGTTGTCACCTCAGAGACAAAAACCATTTCATTCTGACAGGGACAGTGTGCATCTGCCTCTGGTGTCTGGGATTTCTGCCTTTCCCCAGAAATAATGCTCGAGCATTATTTGCAGAGGTGTGAGAGATGTCTTGTGCTTGTGCTGCAGATCATTGTCAGGAGCCAGACAGAGCCAGGGAGTGCTCTGCTGGGACAGATCAGTGTTTGTCAGCCAGTCACGTGGAAATTCGTGTCATGAACATTCCAAGTGTTAATCCCTGTGTGTCTGGTCATGCCAGATCTGGCCTTCAAGCCCAGTTTTAGGTACTCTGCCTGTCCCAGTCTGCTCCTGTTTGTGGCAGCTCTAGCTGTGAGCACTGAACCTTTGCCTTTTTTTATGGCAGTGCCCCTCAGTTTTTCTCATCTTCTCCAGGTCTAAGGTGAGACTCTGAGTTGTCTGAGGCTTTCTAAGAGCTACCAAGTGTCCACCTCCTGTGGCATTCCCTGTACACTGTCACCTTGTCCTGTCAGGTGGGGCAGTACTGCTGCCTGGTCATGCTTAAAGCTCTCCCAGGCACACACAGTCTGTGTGTTGATCCTCCTTTCAGACTTCCTGTGGGCTTCCCTTTGCTCCTCTCTCCTCAGCCAGTCTGGGCTCTGAGTGGCACGTTGCAGGCACTCTCCCTTTCCTTGTAACATCCCCTTCAAACTGAAGTCCTAAAGGACCCCAACAGAAAGGTGGGCAGTGGAGGAGATTCCAGTGGAAGAAGCCCACGTGCTCTGCTCTGGTTCCTCACCAGGATTTCTGGGATTTCCCTGTCCTGGTAGAGTTGTCATGAGGAGACTGGAACAAATCAGGAGGATGAGAGTGGGCTCAGAAGATCCCTAGGAATGCTGTTGGATGTCACTTCCAGTGATAAACAGTGGTTTTATTCAAAGTGGTGGGACAGAGTGCAGAACAGGTGGAGAAAAACACATATACTCTGTACCATTATGACTCCTTGTGCAGCCTGACAGGCCTAGGAAAGATTTAAAAATAATGATAATGGTTCTTAAGAGAGAAAATGATCAGTAAAAAAGGCATTAATGCTCTTAAGACTAGTACCTCACTGGGAAATAAGTCTCTCTTTGGGCACAGATGTCTCCCCTGCTGGCTTGTCCCTCCCAGCAGACAAGTTCTGTCCATCCCCAAAGTTTTTAGCTCATAGTTGCAGTGAAACAGGTTTGGAGTGAGCACAGGCTGGGCCTGGGAGACCTCTTCCAGAAGAGCACAGACACAGGCAAGTTCACCTGGTTTTTCTGCAGACTTGGCCTTCAGCTGCCAGAGATCAGGATCTGCAATATGAGAAATGGAGTTTGTCATGGGGGATATGTTGGAGTTAAAGCATCACAGAGTCTGGAAATGTGGGAGCTCCACTGCCAGGGACCAGCTCTCTCTAAACAGTTCCTGCTAAAGCTCCTTGTCTGATTTGCCTTTGTCTCGAGGACGACATCACAAGAGTATCCTGCTTAAAATTATGCTCTCAAGAGACTTGTGAGCTGTTGAAAATTAAGTCTTTTCTTCTTCAATGCAGAGTTTGTGCTTTTCTCCTGTGTCATGGGTACCCAGGGGTGGGCATGACCTACTGAAAAGTACACCAGTAAGAGCAGAGCCTGAGGGCAAGCCCAGCTTCTGATTCCTTCTTTTCCCTGCCAGTCTGGCAGCACATAATCCCTTGGGGAGAGGATTGCCTGCAGGCTTCCTCTGATGAGGTGCTGGAGTGTGTGTGCCTGGTTGTGGTGTTTCTTCCTTTCTGTCAGTGGCCCTGCCAAGCTCCTGCTGGAGTTAGTGAATGTGTGAATTAAACTCAGGGCTTTTCTGTTTGAAGTGTTTTGCTGCCTGGAGGAGCTGTGGTGCATCTGGAGCTGGTGTGTGCCCTGCTGCTGGCAGGTGTCACCTGCTGTCCTCGCTGTGTTGGACTCCCCTTTCCTGATAGTTGCAGTTACATTCCTGTTCAGGAGCATTTTCCTTTGGCTGGCTAAGCAGGAGGTCACAAAGGGAAGGGAAGGTGCTTTGCAGGCTTGCTGGAGCACGTTTGTGATTTATGCCCAGAGAGGGACCTGTCTGTGCCAAGGTGGGGTTTGCTGCTGTCTCATTGCAAAATGCTCAGGAACTCAGGGCTGTTCTGGGTAAGTTTTGAGTAAAAGTGGGACAAAGATGACTTTGCTTTTATGCCAGCTGTGAGCAGCTGCAGTGGTACCTGATGAGTTCTTTTTCCCTTGCAGTGGGGGTGTTATGATCTACATTGACCGAATCGAAGTTGTGAACAAGCTGGCCCCACATGCAGGTATTTCCCATCCCCTTTCCACAGGCAGCTCTGGGACTGCCTTTACTCATCCTGTAGCAGCTCTGTCTTGGTTTGCAGGACTTCCATTATCCATGTCTGGAAAATTTCCATGTCTGTTCCCATTCCTTGTTACCCTTATGGCTCCCAGTCCTGTAGCACTTAGTTCCATGCATGTGCCTGCAGGCTTTTTGCAGAGCCAGGGATTTGCAAGGATGAAGGTAAACTCTAGGATTGCTTCTCCCCTGTATGTTTAGAAATGTGACAGGTGCTCAAGGATCCTCTCTCTTGCTGCTGAAGGGGAGAGCACCTGTGGAACTAATCCCAAGTGCTCGCTTGGCTCCTGGGAGAATTGCAAAGACATGTTCCTTTTGCTGCAGCCCAGGACATGGTTGGCTTAAAACGTGGGAATGATCCTTGGTTTCACTTTATAGTGTTGCTGTTCCCATGCATGCAGGTCCTGGACAGGCTTTGCTGTTTGATTTGTTTGTGCAGATGGTAAAACAGGGCTGTGCAGTGTATCTTGCCATGATTACTCTGCTCCTTGAGGTCCTGTAGTCCCAGCTGCATTGGCTGGGGGTCCTCTGAGCTCCCTCCCTCCCACAGCTGGGCAGGGCAGTCCGGAAAACTCCCAGTGCTGGAGGTGCCCCACACCCTGTCCCCGTGCTGTGCTCCTTTCCCAGCATTGCTGGTGCTGCAGGAAGCACTGTGTGTCAGTGGTGCCCTCTGGTAATCCCCTTCCTCCCCCAGTGTACGACATCGTGAGGAACTACACCGCGGACTACGACAAGACCTTGATCTTCAACAAAATCCATCACGAGCTGAATCAGTTCTGCAGTGCCCACACCCTGCAGGAGGTGTACATCGAGCTCTTTGGTGAGTGGATGGCAGCTGGGTGCTCCCACTGAGGGATGTGGAATCTCCCTGTCGTGCTCTGGAATGTGTTACAGCCAGTGGGAGCAAACAGCCCCTGTGCTGGAGTTGCAGTCTGGAATCCAGCTCCTTTTATATCCATAGGCCACTTCCCCTGGGACTTCAGTAGTTCAGATTTCTTTGTCTTTCCCCATCTGCACGTGGGAATTTGGTTTCAGTCCTTTTCCACCGATTCTGGGTGCACAAAGCAGCCACTCTGCTCTTGTGTGTGCAGTGATACCCATTGCCTTCACTATGATGATGGGTTTGTCTTGCCTACTCCTACTTCTAAGCCCTTATTCTGTTGCTTGATTCACTTTTGTACTTCCCCAGCTTCCTTCTGGCTGTTTTTAACAGGTGAGAGCTGGAAGGTTTTTTAGGGAGGTAGCAGTGTTTCAGGAATTAGCACAGGCCATGTTCTCCTTGGTACCTACCTGTGCCCCAAAGACATGACAGTGTTGTGTTCTTCTTGAGTGGCTGGGCAGAGGAGAATGGGCTTATGGTAGATAAAAGGTTGTCAGAATTTTAATGTTAAGATACTGTAAGTCTGAATGCTGAGAAGGGATAGACTTCTACCACAGGCTCTGGGCATTCTTGCTGAGATCCTTAAAACCTTAGCTCAAATGCCACAAATCCATCAATAACCGAACTTTTGTGGGCACTAGCACGTGACTCTCCTTTTGGGAACATTTTCCAGGGGGCAGAGGAGCAATGTACTGAGTGATCTCAGAGAGCACCTTTATCTTACACCATAGCCAGACCTGCTCTGCAAGGCCAGCTGGCTCTGCCACATCAGCTGTGGGAGAAAAGGTGATGAGCTAAATGGTCTCTCTCTTGTCCTCCAAACACAGATCAGATAGATGAGAACTTGAAGTTGGCCCTGCAGAAAGACCTCAATGTCATGGCACCAGGTCTCACTATCCAGGTGAGTTCATTCCCTAATAAAGATTACTCTTTTTTCCACCTCTTTCACTGGATTGGATAGGTTTCTTGCTTCCATTTTCCACATGCCATGGAATAGTTGAGCCTTGAGTTGAGGTTTGGCAGCTGAAGACTGTCCAAATGTTGGTGATGGCTTTCAGACACTGGGTTTATGTAAGGGAAAGACCTACAGGACAGAGAAAAGAACCTTTCAGGTGACAGACCTGCAGGTATTGGCTTTAAATTGCAAAGAGCAAGGGAATGGTTTTAGTGGTTTTCTGCTTACCTTTAATGTTAGAAAATCATGTTTAATTTAACCATATTAACATCTACCTGAACTCACCAGACACCACTTTGAAGGGGTGAGGATCTTTGTTTTGGTGCAGAGGTTGAAAGAATATCCCCCTGTGCACCCTGCAGTGGCTGGTGAGGTCAGCTTTCTCCATGTGGTGCTTTGTAGGGGCTTGGAGAGGTTTTGCTCCTGGTAGGAGCTTAGAACAGTCCCTTCACTGAAGGATGTTCTGGTCTGATGTCCCATAAATCTGCTTTCTTTGCTTGTCCAGAGAAGCAGCAGAGTTGGGATTGTTCACACTGGAGAAGGGAAGGCTCCAGGGAGACCTTATTTCTGGCCTTTCAGTATATAAAGAGTATGTAAAGTTTTATATAAAGCTTACCTAAGTTATAAAAAAGGTGGAGAAAGACTTTTTACAAAGGCCTGTAGTGACAGGATGAGGGGCAGTGGTTTTAAACTGAGAGAGGAATGTTTTACACTGAGGGTCAGGAGGCCCTGGCACAGGGTGCCCAGAGAAGCTGTGGCTGCCCCTGGATCCCTGCAAGTGTCCAAGGCCAGGTTGGAGGGGGCTTGGAGCAACCTGCCCACGGTGGGAGTGGGTTGGAATGGCTGTCAGGAAATACAACTGCAGGACACTCCTGTGAGAGAGGCCATGCTCAGCTGTGCTGCACGGGAGGATTAGGCACCATTGTCCACAGCACTGCAGCTGCTCTCACAAGGGCATTTCCTACACCTTGCATCCAAACATTCAGTTTGAAATGTGCCCCCTTTTCCTTCTCTCACAGGCTGTGCGTGTTACAAAACCCAAAATTCCAGAGGCCATCCGGAGAAATTTTGAGCTGATGTGAGTAGCTGGACATACAACTGTGTGAATTAGTTTTGAGGGTCCAGGACAGGCACAGTGCTGTTAGCAAGCTCTTCCCTGGTGCTCAGAGAGTGAGAGGGGAGCTCTAGGCAGGCCAGGTGCACCTGTGGATTCTGTTTCTCTGTTTCCAGACTGAAATCAGGGCTCAGGGGTCTTGGTATCTTGCCCATAAATTCCCCTCCAGGATCCCTGAGACCCCTTTGGAGCAGGGGGAGATGCTGTTGGATCTCCCTTCACCTCCCTGTCCCCAGCTGAGCCAGCCCAGCTCCCAGTATCCCTGCACTGGGCTCACTCCCTGTCCTGAGGGCCTCGGGCTGCACCTGCATCCACATGTGGCCTCACCAGTGCCAAGTGGGGAGGGGGACAATCCCTTCCTTTGGCCCACTGGCTGTGCTGTGCTCATACAGCTGCACACAGAACCAGTCCCGTGGCTGTGAACAGGGGGCTGGCAGCTGCTCGTGGTCTTTCCTGCCCTCAGATGCAGAGCTGCTCCCCATCTCCCTTTCCCCAGGATAATGTTTCTCCCCTTGCAGGGAGGCTGAGAAGACCAAGCTGCTGATTGCAGCCCAGAGGCAGAAGGTGGTGGAGAAGGAGGCAGAGACAGACCGGAAGAAAGCAATCATTGGTATGTGACCAGGACAGGCTGAGCTGCCATTCCTGCATTCCCTGGTAGCTGAGGGAGGCACGGCCAGGCTGCACCAGGAGTCATTTTGAAAATCTGAGTGTCTTTGCTGCTGTATCTCTGTCCCACCTCCCTCCTGTGGCAGCAGAGCAGTGAGCACCTCTGTCCTGCAGCCACTCCACTGCAAAAACTGGGCTGGGAGCTCAGTGTGCCAGGGGATCGCCCTGGGAAATGGGATATCAGCTCTGGAGACATCAGCACTGTGTTTTCTTCCTGTAACTGTGCTGCTTGGAGTCCAGGCTGGCACTGTAGGATCCCAGCAGGAAGGGAGGGAGTAGGGAACAGACCTGGTGTGGCAGATCCTGCAGTGAGCTGCTGGTCAGGGTGCTGGTGCTCACACCCTGGGAAGCAGATTCCTGAGCTGAGCCCGTTGTGATTGCAGAGGCAGAGAAGGCTGCCCAGGTGGCCAGGATTCACTACCAACAGAAGATTATGGAGAAGGAAACGGAGAAGCGGATTTCTGAGATTGAGGGTAACTTGCACTGCTGGGTCATTTTGCAGCTGAGGGGGGATGGCAGGGAGGGGATCCTCAGGCCTGGGCTCACAGGCTGTCCTGCAGAGCTCATCCAGGGTGCAGCAGTGCAAGGCTGTGCACTGGGAACGCTCCAGGAAGCCACAGGGTGGGTGCAGGGCCAGCCAAGCTGTCTCGGACACTCCTGGGTCAGCTGGCCCCCGTGGGATGAGGGCTCAGGTGCTCAGTGTGGTGGGACTGTTCACTTCCTAACACTTTTTTTCCTGTCCATCCTCTGCTGCCGTGTTAGATGCTGCGTTCCTGGCAAGAGAGAAGGCCAAAGCTGATGCTGAGTACTACACTGCTCGGAAGCTGGCTGATGCCAACAAGGTGAGCTCTGGGAAGCTGGTCAGGACAGGACTCGCTCCCTCTTTCCCTCTGCACAGGAGATGAGCTTCAGGTGGGCAGCACTGGAAAAACACTTGATTTAACAGCCTGCATCCCAGAAGGCCTGATGCAGTATTGAATGAGGCAGCACCCAGAAAGTTGTGTCTGACAGCCCCTGTTTGTGTTCCTGTAGCTGAAGCTGACCCCCGAGTACCTGGAGCTGATGAAGTACCAGGCCATAGCCGCCAACAGCAAACTGTACTTCGGCGACCGCATCCCCGGCGTGCTCCTGGAGTCCTGTGCCTTCCAGCAGGCCAGCCCGAGGACTGCCCACCAAACCAGCCTTCCTGCACAGGAGGCCCCGGAGACCTCTGGAGAAAGCCAGCTCAGAGGCAAGGAAAGCACTGGCTGAGGAGGGAGGAGGAATCCCGGTGTGGCTCAGCAGCAAAGCCCGGCTGTGGTCGGGGACGTGGCCCCGGGCTGGTGGGGCGGACGCAGCACACGCCTGGACATCTTGTGTATAGGTGGCAGTTGGGTTGATTTTCTTCTAGCAACAGATTGCAAGGGCTCTGCCTCTTCCGTTTCTTCCCCTGTTAAATTGGTGCTTCCAAAGGAGGGATAATCCTGTACTAACATACCTATACTGGAATATTAAAAGACAGACGCCGGGAAAGGCTTCCGGAGTAGGTGCAGTTATTTAGCAGGCATTGCTCTGGAGGCAGGAGATGTGGCTTTGAGTGCTGTGTTGCTGCACCCTGGTTGTTCCAAGTGCTCCTGGCTGAGGCCGAGCGAAGAGGAGGTTTCCTTCGTCCTGCCCATGAAGCTTCACTTGGTGGACTCCAGGCAGGTTCCTGCCATTGCTCTCTCTCTCTCCTCAAGGACTCCCATGGAGTGGGCTCTCCTTGGCCAGCGTGTTCCTGCTCAGGGCAAGGAATGGTTTGGTGTGGAGTAGGTTACTGGAATAGGATCTGCATAGCCATGGTATTCCTGTAGACAGCAGCACTAGGTAACAACTCGGAGCAGATGGTCTCTGATGGGATTCTGCAACTCCCCTCTCCAAGCAAGAGCCTTGCACTGGCTGCCTGGGACTGACTGTAGGGTGTTTCAGCTGCGTGGCTGGGGCTCACCTTGCATCCTAAACCAGATTTCAGGAGCACCTCGGAGCAGCTGGTTGGGAGCAGAGCTTGGGAAATCTCTGCTCAGATCCCAACTTGTGAAATCTCTGCTCAGATCCCAACTTGTGAAATCTCTGCCCAGATCCCAACTTGTGAAATCTCTGCTCAGATCCCAACTTGTGAAATCTCTGCTCAGATCCCAACTTGTGAAATCTCTGCTCAGATCCCAACTTGTGAAATCTCTGCTCAGATCCCAACTTGTGAAATCTCTGCTCAGATCCCAGCCTTCCTCTAGGTCAGCAGGGCAAGGGGGCTGAACTTCCACTGCTCTGCCATGGTGGCAAGGTAAAGGGGGAAGAGAAAAGTGAAGGGACCCTGCGGAGCAGATCAGATGTTTGACACCTCAGCTGCAAAGTAGGTGAGTCATCACTGCTCCCCCGTGCAAAATCCACTGCTCCAAGAAGTGGGACCTGCCTCGTGTGTCCTTGAACAGCTGTGGTGAGAGTGTGTCCCTGGGCCTCTCATCCCTGGACAGGTTTGCTGCAGTGCAGGACTTCAGGCTGCTCCTGAGCAGTGCTGGCAGCAGGATCTCCTGTGGTGGCCCTCCAGGCACTCTGCCTGTTGAGATCTTGTGTCCCTGGCACTGTCTGCAGCCTTGTGGCAACGGGAGGGACATGTTCAGCTTTTGCCACAGTGAAACATTCAACCCAAAACAAGAGGCTTGAGCTTTACCTGTGCTGATGATGTCCCCAGACGAGTTGTGTGGGCTTCAGGCTTTGCAGTGCTGTGTTCCCACCACACGTGGCTCGGCTTGGCGGGTGCCAGTGTCTCCTCGAGGAAGTTTGGTAACACGTGGTGCCTTGTGCTGTCCCAGCTCCTGCCCTGGCTCCCTGTCCTCCATGTCTGGGGCAGAGCAGGGATGTGTTGGACCTGCCCCTTCTGCAGGGTAGGACATGACTGTGGGACTTGGCAGCAGTTTCAGGGGGTCTGTCTGTCCTCTATCTGGCTGCAAACTCCCAAGGCCCAGTTGATGCTCTGCTCCAGAATACCAGCTCCTCTTCCAGCCCAGCCATGGCAGGAGCCAGGGACCCGGGGCACCAGTGTGGAGAGGAAGGGCAGTGTAATCTGTAGCTGTGGTGTTTGAAATGTCTCCTGGAAGTGCTGTTTGACTTGCAGGGTCCCCTTTCTCCCGTGGGAAGGGCTTTGAGGGGGCTGTGGAGTCACATCTTTGAGCTGCCACCTCCTCAGTGGTGCAGCAGGCCCTTGGCATGGGGGCACGGCCTCTCCTCACCCCGGCAGCACCCTCTTCACTTGGATTTTGGGATGAGGGCAGACTTCATAGAGCAGAAGCACTGCTGGAGGGGATGCTGGCAGGGTTGTAGGCTTGTTCTCCATGTTATACTGGGGTCGGACACTCTGGGCATGAGGAATGGGTGGACAGGGTAGGTTCTGCCAGCCTGGAGGTGCCAGGGGCACGAGGGGAGCTGCTGGGAGTGATAACCAGGCAGCTCACAGCTCTCCTGCAGCAACCAGAGCAAGATGCCTGTGCAGGGAGCAGGAAAACCTTCCAGGCCAGTGCAGGAAGGGCTGTCTTCCCTCTGGACCTGAGCCTTGCTGGGTCTCCCTGCACTATCCAGGTGGGTGCATGGCTTTATCCTGAGTGGCTGTCACTGGCTCAGTGTCCCCCTGCTCTGGTTGGGTGACATCAGCCTGGTCTGAGGGACCCTGGGGGATGCTCCTGTAGTCCCAGGTCCTGCAGCAGCCTGTGTGATGCTTGGTGCCTTCTGCAAAAGCCTCCTCCCTCCCTCCCTGCTTGCCCAGCCGCTGCTGCAGAGGCCCCAGTAGGTGTGCAGGGGGGCATTGCCACAGCTTTAGCACCCCAGGGTGGGCTGTGCTTCCCTCTGAGCCCCAGGTGTGAGCAGGGACATGGGACTGTGGGTTAGAACTGGCTTTTCTCTCCGTTCCAAGGGCCTGTGTGGGCCTGTGACTAAAGGGATCTGCCCCTGGATCCACATCTCCTTAAGGAAACACGATACATATGGTCAGGTTTACATTCACGGTGTTGAGTTCTTTTGATAAAGCAGAATAAAATTATTTTGTTACCATTTTTCTGAGTGGTTTTATGTGTCCTGAGGCTGGTGTCACTGTAGGCACGTGGAGTGGGGTCCCCCTCTACCTCTCACCCCGCAGTGACGCTGTGGTGTCCTCAGCTGCAGCCTCTGCCACCCTGGGAGCCCCATGAGCAGCCTGTGCTCAAAGTAAACCACGGCCAGGATGGTGCTGAGCACGGGGGGACTCACTGCAGCATCCTGCAGCCCCTGGGCAGCCTCCTCTGTGTGACTGCCAGAACCTGCTGCTGTTTGGCCCCTGTTGCTCTGGCACAGGACTGGGGAGCTCAGCTCCAAACCTTCTCCCCCTCCCCTGATCCCCACACAGCTCCCTGCCTGCCACCACCTCGCTGTCCTCTGCTGCCCAGAGACACCCCGTGACACCACTACCTTCAGTCTTTATTGGTATAAAAGCCTTCAACCTAAATTATATAAAAAGTGGGAGGCCTGTTTTCACAGCAGGTGGCTCGAAACGGTCACATAAGGGTCATAAATTAATGGCTGCAGGAAAAAGGCTCCCAGAGAATTCCCTTTCAGAACAGTAACTCCAGGGATAACTTGAGAGATAAAAGCCCCGTGGGGAAACCAAGCCTAGCTTGGACCTGCCACAGCCTCTGGTGACATCTCCCTGTGTGATGTCCCCGGCCAGGTCAGTGTTCCCAGGGCAGGGTCCCCACAGAGCAGTGCTCCTCCTGCCTGGCATTCCAGGAGCTCCTCGCCGTGGCCCCAGCAGGGAAGGGGCAAGGAGGAGCAGGACACATTCAGGACGTCAGGAGAGAAGGCAGCGGCTTCCAGGGCGCGGGAGAGCCTGGACGGACGCGGGGCTGGCATCCAAACCGGAGCTGGCACTGTCCCGCTCCTGGTTCCCTCGGGAAACCCCGGCCGACGGCTCTCCCTGGGACAGCCACGGGGCTGCGGAGTCCAGTAAGGCACGACAAGGATCTGTAAACACTGGTGCCCCCCGGGGGAGGCTCGGGCCAGCAATTCAAGTAAGGGTGGAAGCGAGACGGTGGCTGCCCGGCTGTGCCACCCGCGCCCGCTGTGGCCCTCCTGG